TGTAGAAGATTATTTATATTAGGAGATGAAGGTGGCAGAACTCTTCATTTGCCACAATGAGAGTGAAGAGAAAAGAGTTCCTATGGCCACCTTTACCTTTTAAGGGAATGTCATGCATTGGTGGACTTCCTTAGTAAGAGAAAAAAAACTTTAGAGAGCCCTTCATTAAATATTGGAATGAACTTAGGAGTGCCTTAAGGAGAAGACACATTCATCCCTATTATGAGAGAAAGTTAATGGACAAGCTCCAAAGACTCCAACAAAGAAATCAAAGTGTGGAGGAATATAGGCAACAAATGGACTTGCTTATGCTAAGGGCTAGAATTAGTGAAGAAGAAAGAACCACCATTGCAAGATTTCAAAGTGGCCTTAACATAGACATTAGTGACAAGGTTAAGCTATTTCCATACAGAAACCTTAATGAACTAGTTCAACTTTGTATAAGGGTAGAAAGTCAATTAAGGAGAAAGTCTAGCCTTAGGAAGAAGTCTACCTCTTACCCTAATAATGATTACAAGAAGGAGGGGTCTTCCTCCCAATCCAACAAAGAAAGGTCATAAGAAAAGAATAAAAAGAAAGAAAAAGAAAATCCTAGAGATAAATCTTCAATAGAATCTAGGACAAATTCTATCAAGTGTTTTAAATGTCTACAGAGAGGACACATAGCCTCCCAATGCCCAACTAAGAAAACAATGATTTTAAGGGACAATGACATTTATAGTAGTGATAGCACTATATCTTCTTCATCTTCTAGTGAAGAAGACATCCATGATTCTAGTGAAGAAGTTCCACCTTGTGATGGAGACCTTCTTGTTGCTCAAAGGTTGCTTGCAAACCAACTACAAGAGCAAGACCATCCCAAAGAGAGAACTTATTTCATACTAGATGCAAGATTTTAAAAAATACTTGTTCTCCCATTATGGATAATGGTTCTTGTAATAATTTTTGTAGTGCAAGATTGGTTAAAAAGCTACACTTGACTCCCATTGCCCATCCAAAATCTTACAAATTGCAATGGCTTAATGAGGATGGATCAATAGAAGTCAAGGACCAAGTAAACATTTCTTTCACCATTGGGAAATACAAAGATGAAGTTTTATGTGACATAATTCCCATGGATGCAAGTCATGTATTACCTGGGAGGCCTTGGCAATATGATAGGCAAGCCATCTATGATGGATTAACCAATAAGATACGTCTTACCCATAGGAAAAAGATATGTGTTGAATCCTCTATCAGCTTCACAAGTTTTAGAGGATCAACTCAAAATGACAAAGAAAAGAGAAAAATAAAAAAATACATTACTCTTAGAAAAGAATAAGGAGGATAGTATCTCCTCCAAAAATCTTGTGATAAGGGAAAGTCATTTTTCTATTAAAAATGATTGTAAAAAGACTTTTCTTCCTCACAAAGATTTTAGCTCTTCTTTTACTACTGCCATAGACTTGGAGCTTAAGATCCAAAATCAAAATATTTTTGAAAGTAAAGGATCTCAAGTTCTTAGTCTAGTGAAGAAGAAGTGAACTTCACCTAGTTCTACCTCTTAGGAGGCTACTTTGGTGGTGCCCAAATTAAACAACCATTGTATATTTAGGACTTCTTCTAATTTAGTTGTTCTAATAAAGCATGCAACCTTTGGTTTATATATTGTTTATTAGATACATCTCATGGTGTCTTATTTTCTATTTTTGATCTTAAGGGAAGTTCAAACTTCTTTGAACTTAACTTGACTACTTTCCTTCAAGACCAAATTAGCTTATATGACTCTTCTAAACTCTTCTTTACATCTTCTTCCAAGTTGTATCTAACAAATAATATGATCAAGGGTTGTCTAGGTAGTTTTCTTATTATATTCACTTTGTTTTCTTGTATGCGCCTAGGTTACTATATAGGGTACCTCAGGCAAGATACCTTAGTATGTAAAAGTACTTCATTAGTTTCTTATAGTTTTAGTACTTTCACATTTTTAGGATTTAGTTTTACACTTAGACTACACTATAGTGAGAATCCTATTCTTATTCTTAGAGAATCTATCCTTCCTAGTCTAGGGACCCTTGTTAAGACTATAGAAGAAATTCCTCATAGGGTGCACTTTCCACATATATTATATGAATATATCATCCCTAATGCATTTTTTTTTCTTGTTTCCTTGTAGGTAATGCTATCTATGTGAAAGGACCACTAGATTTAAGGACAAATCCTTTCAAAGAGGGAGGGTATGATGGAAACCTAATCCCCAAGGATTCCTTTGGAAGAGGTAAGACCAAGAAGGGTGAAGGTTGATCCATAAGAAAGCTCACACATGAAGATCATTAGGCCTTTAACTAGGTCCATGGTTAGGAGGCTAGAAGAGGCTTCTATATAGGAGGTGCCTTTTAGACCTATGTGTGACTTAAGCATTAAGTATGACTCCTCTTAGTAGTTTCTTAGTCTTCATTGTAAACACATTGTACATATTGTATAGGATATTTTTTTCCCTTGTATTTTGGGTCAAGTAGTGTAGGATTTTTGTCCCTTGTATTTTGGTGTAATTAGTAGTTTAGGGGAGGTATAACTAAAAAGACCATGGGATTGTTTGGGCTTGGATGGCCCAAAAGATTTTCTAAAAATACACCAAGGTTGGATGTCCACTTGCCTAGGCAAGTGGTTTGGACGTCCAAGCTTGGTGAGAAAGCCATCCAATGTCCAAACTTATAGAAGAAGCTTTCACACGGCCTTGAAAGTGACATCTCAACTAACTACTAGAAGTAATCATTAGGATAGTTAATTGGAGTTAAGTTAAGCTAACCTAAGTCATCTTTAAACTAAGCTTAGCTTAGCTTGTGATGGAAACCCTCCTTGCATGGATTGAGTTTGGAGCATCAAAGAGGGAAGACCAGACTCCTTGGATCATGGAACTCAAGGTTTCTTGCCTTGATGATGGGGGTGGGCGGATGGTGTTTATGGAGGCTAGGTGTTTGATGAAATGATAGAATGGTACTCTAGATTTTTTGGCTCCCTTGATTGATGGATGAAGGCCACTCCTAAAGGTAAGAACACTCACGATGAAAATGAGGAAGATAGGCGGCCAAATTGACCAAGGTGACTAAGGAAGGATATTAAGGCTCAAAGGCACTCTCAATATCATAAATTCCAAAGTGATTACATGAAGCAATACCTAGGGTATATATAGATTAGGGTGTGAGGTGGTGGGCACACATTTAGGGTGACGACTAGGTCATAAAGTGTGCACATTTCCATGCTAAATGTGATGGAAATGAAACACAAATTCATGCCACATGCAACCCTAATGTGACGCCTACTTGGTGGCCAAGGATGGAATCTTTGGCTTGGTTATGTTACAACTAGGTGCATGATAAGACCATGCAACCTAGGTGCCCTCCTCTTGGGCCTAAGCCTTGCCAAGTCCAAAAATAGATCCAATGCTCACCAAAAATACGTCTAGCCTATTTTCTCACCCTAATAAAATACCCTAGTCCAAAATAAAATCCTATAATCTAAGACACCCCATAATACAAGGGTAAAATAGGAAATACAAGTAAAAATAAATCCTATGACTAAGACACCCCAAAGTACAAGGGTAAAATGAAAATACAAGTAAAATAAGTCATATGTCTAAGATACCCAAAAATACAAGAGTAAAAATGGAAAATTAAAGACAAGGGAAAAATAGGAAATAAATTTTATGCTAACAAGGCTTAGGAGAGTGAGTAATATTCTTTAGCCATGAGAACCCTATCTTCTTCCAATCTCCTAACCATGGACCTAGTGATTGGTCCCACATGAAGCTCCAAGGTTGTTCCTCCATTAGCTTGTTCCACAAGCTTCTAGGAAGGTAACTAGGGATAGTTAATTTAAGTGTAAGAAGGCTAAATGTGGTTCTATTTGAAACGAGGTTAGACAAGCTTACACCATAAGCTACCTATTCTCTATATAAGGCATTTTTATTACTTTTTAGACACTTTTTGATGATATTTGAAAGCATTGCCGAGATTTTTCTCTGAATTGTCTCTTCCAAAAAGTTTAAAACCTTTTTTTATTTTAATTCAATTCTTTTATCCTCTTCATACAAGAGGGTGGTGAGGGTTGAAGTGACTCATATTCTTCCAAGGAGTGGCATCACTTGAAGAGTGTTCTTCACCTCCTAAGGTGAAATCTAAAACTTCTTTTACCATTGGAGGATTTGGTGAAGCTTGAGAAGTTTCAAGAATCCAAAGGCCTAGGGAGAAACTTGAAGGAGAAGCCAACACCATTCCAAATTCTCTAGAAAGTTTCCATCATGCTATTTAGTCCTAGCATGTTCCATGTGTTTTTGAGCATCGATGTGTAATTTGATTCCTTGCACATTCATTCAATTTGCAGCCCACTTTCCATGCATTCCCGCTTGTGATAAATTATGGCCAAGGCCAAGGAATCCAAGAGGTGATACATTGAAGCCCATGAAGCAATGGAACCAGAGACAGAGCTTATAGAGTCAAATGTACAATAGTGTATTGTAATTATCTCTATAGACTAAGGAGTTCTAAGTGTAACTTAGGAACATGCACCTTAGTGAGTGTAGCAAATATTTGTATCTTTTTTGTGAGAGTAAACCAAACACTCAAACCAAATCATCTATCTATCATTTGTAAAGTTTGAAGAAGCTAGGGAAAGTCTAGAGAAAAATGGAATATAAAAAAACATAATTATTTATGCATTATGCATGAATGGTTCTCCGTTCCCTGAGAACTCAGGATCAAATAATAGTACCTCAGTCCCTAGTATTAAAATGAGGGTGCTAGTACTAAATAGTCACCGAAATATTCTTCAGATTCCTTGGCTGGTCAAGGTAATAGAAAACTAATAGTGATAATATTGATTGCTTGCATGCCTATTATAACATTTCAAATTGCCATGCTGAAAAAGAATATGTTTGAATAAATTTTCCCAAAAGCACTTTAGAAAAAAAAAAGCAAAACTAAAATAAGTTTTTCTACGAGCTAAAATTAGTCTATGCATAAGTTAAAAATAAGATTTTGAAAAAAAGAATTTAAAAAAAATCTACAAATTAGTTTATGTAGAAATTTATTTCATTTTTGTTTCTATTTTTCTCTTCTAGAAGTGTTTTTAGTGTAGTTTATCCAAACAAGACCCAAAGACGGATTGAAAAGAGCAACTTCTAGCTAGTAAGAGTGTCAGGTTACAATTGTGTTCTGCAAATCTGATTCCAAATCAACTAGGAAATAAACACTTATAAAAAGATGGGTCAATACTGTTCTAAATATTTAAGTGTTAAAGAGAATTTTTCCTTTAGCTTGATCTGGATTCCTCTTTAATTCATTTATTTTGTTGTGTTTTCTCTTCCAATACATAATATTGGTTCTATATTTACTAAAAGGATGGACTATATGAAAAGAGATGCAGAGAATTCAAGGTTCCCCAATAATTTTTAATCTTGATAATAATTATTGAGAATAAAAATTTACCTTGCGAATCAAATAGAGGAAATCCTCCACTGATAGCTTCCCCCTCTAAGATCCAATTTCTTGGGCTTTATGTACCTTTGCAGAGAAAATTAGCATGAGGACAACAAAGCTAACTAACTACTCAAACTAAGCTGAAGAACTAAAAAGTTAGGAGTCTTACCAATTCTGTGACATATTCCACAACAATGTCCTCCATAAGTGCCACACTTTCAGGAAGTGGCTAATTACAGTGGAAAACAAGAATAAAAGTTCAAGTTAACAGACATTGCCCTTTAAAATTTACATGAAAAGATGTATAGAATGATAACACTTGAGACTTACGTTAGGGTCATCTCTAAAGCCATACATCATGTGCTGCACTATAGGACCCAAAGGAGACTGATAAGAAAGTAGGGTTAAATGTAGAAAATTAGGAAGAAAAAAGCTTACATTCTTTTTGGAAAACTCCTCTTTTGCGCTTGGGTGAAGTTTCTGATGGTTGCGAGGAAGCTGCCCTCGGTTTTGATGACGTTCCAGTTCCAGTGGAGGAATTGCTCATTGCAATTACCCAATTGCACAGTGAGGGTTCTGCTCTACACACAAAATGAAAAGAATTAGAGAACTATAGCATATAAAAAGTCTCAAATAATTCCCAATCCAAGGAACCACACCACATTTCTACAGGTTTAAGTAGAAATTTGGGGAAATAGTTGGGGTATTAGGCTTAGCTTTCTTAGCCTCTACAGTTTGTTGGTCACTATCCCTACTCTTAACTTTATAACCAGTAGCACTAATTCTTCGATTAAAAGAATGATTACTAGTTGGAGTAGCCTCTGTGTTAGTACTATTAGGTAGAGTTTCCATTGTATTTAACTCATCTTCCATATTGAAATTTTCATTGAGATTCATGACTACAATATAAAACTTTCAGCAAGATTCGCTCATACATCCAGATATTAACAGATTCACATTCACTCATATCCAAATTTTCATGAAGATACATGACTGCAACATAAAAATTTAACAAGATTCAAGCATACATACAAGAACATAGCAGGCAGCAACTAATATCTACAAGAACCTACTTGATGAAGAGTAAGGTCTTCAAAATATGAACTCTGGGTTAATGTCTTGCTGATCAGAGGACTAAAACACAAATTGTTCCTGCTAGTATACCAGAAAACAAATCATGCTGAAAGTGGCACCGTAAACAAGGCCAACAAACATGTACTGAAATAACTAAACATACTGTATCTATGCATTTTAGGTGCTAAATGTATCACACAGTCCATGTTACACTATATATTATAATCCTTATTTAAGCCTATTACACCTTTTATTAAATAAGATCAATCTATCATATATAACAGAGTACAATCAACTTAACAGACAACTCTCAGCTCAAGCTACAATATAGTTTATATTCAGTAAAGGGAAAACATTAACACAGCTTGAAAAGTCTTGACTTGAGCTGAACACCCTCATCCACCAAATGAGAGACAGAAAAAAATAAGAAATTTGAAATATCCTTATAGAATTTAAGAAATTTCATAATGATAATGTGTATCTAATGCAGACCACACACTATTGTATTTATGCTTACATGAGTTGGGTATGGTAATAAATGATAATAAAGTCCTAATGATATGTTAATATCAGTATCAATTCAGTTGTCAATTGAAAAATATCATCTCACTAATTCAACTGTTCCACCAGTCCCCCAAAATTTACAAGCTTTTAGCCGTTAAAAGCAAATTAGCCAACGAAAACCACCTTTCATGAGTGTAGATTAGTATTTAATTGTCACTTTTGGAACACTGTGTGAACTATGTCCATAGACAAAAAATAATGCAAATTATATAGAATTTGCAAAATTTGACCGGGTGTAATGTAAGAGGAGGTGAAGCAGGACATATGTTGTATGAATATTTTCAATGAAAGTATCCAAAAATGACTAGCATTGCAATGTAAATCAAATATTACTTGATGTTTCAAATTAGGAAGTCTATTTTTAAGTAGCACTAAAAAGAAGATGCACTGATGCAGGAACTATAAAATGATAAGTGGATATTCCTCATTTATGAGTACTCTCGCCTCACAATATGAAGGCAAGATAAAAATAAAGTAAAAAAATTACATGTTAAATGTCTTATTGATTTAAACGGTAAGACATAAAATCAATTCTTTCAATAAGAACAATAGCTCATGCCATGTGCTATTGATTTAATCTTTCTCAATGTCTAAACTCCCAGGGTTTAACCATATTTTAGAGAGGCAATTTACATCTCAGGCTGTGTTCATGTCAGGTTAAGAAAAGGGTACAACTACAACCATACAAAAACAAATAGCTTGAGGCACTCAAGCTAAATATTAGCAAATACAACACAACTTGCTACACTTCCATAGTTTCATTGAATTAAGAGACATCCAAAACTACAACACATTCAGATTATTGAAAAAAAAAAATCAGAGCCAGTAGGAACTAGGAAACCTAAATCATTCCTTGTAACCACACATAATTGAACATAGAAAGTTGTCCCAAATCCAAGTTTATCGGTTTAGTAAATAGCATTCCCAATTATAAAGTTGTGACCAAAATCAAACTAGAAAGAACATATTTAAATGACATCAAATATTTAAAAGGAATAGACAGAGCATTGATGTGAGGCAATGCAAGTAGAACTCAACTCTAACAAGCAATACATAACTTTTGACAATGAAGAGGACATTAGAAAATGGAAAACTTTAGGACAATAAGAAATTGAAACAGTGATCAAGGAAGCTCCTTCTTTTATGCATACATCTAATCAACTTAACACCACCTAGGTTAGTTTTTCATAAATCTTCAACAACATTTTCCCCTCCTTTAATTTTATCCTTTCTTATGTAGAAATTTGATCACAAAAGGATTGAAACCATACGCGTATTAAATATCCTACCAACTCTATAGCATATTAGCATTCGTTTACAAAACATCTATTCTGGGGAGTGTTCTAAAATCAAATCTGGACAGCATCCGACCCTAAGCCAGAATTACCAGGGGGCAGTATTAGATAATCAAAGACAATGCTATAAAGGCCATAGCCCACCAACTTAACACTGCCATCAAAAATACTTTTTCTCCTTTAATCATGTAAAACTACCATCTTAAGCAACAGTCAAGGTTTTAAAAAAAGGTCTAGAACCGCCATTGCAGCCACATTTGTCTGCAATTTGCTACAACATCAAGGATTGCGACAAAACCACAACACCCTCGGCAACAGTTATAAAGTGTAGTGTAATTATCTCTATAGACTAAGGAGTTCTAAGTGTAACTTAGGAACATGCACCTTAGTGAGTGTAGCAAATATTTGTATCTTTTTTGTGAGAGTAAACCAAACACTCAAACCAAATCATCTATCTATCATTTGTAAAGTTTGAAGAAAGATCGGAAATTAGGTGCAACCACTACATTCATTTAGTGTGAATTTGCATTTTATTTGGTGTGAATTTACACTTTATTTGGTGTAAATTTGCATTTCATTTCTTGTAAATTTTCATTTCTTTCATTTCTTGTACAAGGCCTCTTTAGGAGTGTCTTGGAGTGCCTTTGGTGCATTTCCATCTCTCCTTAGTGTTTTCAAACTAGGGTAATACGTTTAGTACTAGTGAGAGTGGTCCTTGGAAGTCCTTGGTACTTTCCAAGCTCTCACATAGGTTTACTTGCTTAAAACGCCTAGTTTATGTTTTCTTGTCTTTATGTTTTCATGTCATTTATGTTTTAAGCAATTTATGTTTTCATGCAATTTATGTTTTCAAGCAATTTATGTTTTCAAGTCTTTAAGTTTTGATTGCATTGCTTAATTGTACACATTAGGCACTTGCTTGTTATTTTTCTTTTTGAAAAAGAAATTTGTGAAAACATTTTGGTGCAAGGCAAAGTATAAGGGGGTTTAGAGATTTTTACTTGAAGAGGCTTGGTTATTAAGTGGCTCTTTAGTAGCTCACCTCCCTCCATAGTTCAATTTGTACTCTTAGACCTCTAAGTGCCAAGTCTAAGCACTTTAAAAATATTATTTTCTTAAAATCTCTTTTTGTGTGAAGAGAAAAATCTTCTTGTTTAAAATGTCTCAACAATCCAGCTATAGTGGAAGTGAGAGCTCTCCTAAAATCATTTCTTACTTAACAAAAGAGCTAAATGGGCTTGGGCCCACTCCTCATGCATCCTTCTTTCCATAGCCCTAGTAGTTGGGCCCTTGGCCCATGGGCTTCCTCCATTACAAAGAAGTAGAAGTGATGGATGATCTTCTCCTTACTTCCTCCATGTCCACGCAAGTTCCTTTGAGGTTCCAGTGGATGAAGAAGACTTCTAGATTCGTGAAGATGCAACTAAAATTGTGGCTGGTTTGCTCCTTAATGAAGGAGTAAGAAGCACCAAAGCACAAAAGAAACATTCATTTGTTAAGGAGCTTAAGAAGGGAGAATTTCCCTAAATATCAAGGACTCTTTGAGAGAATTTTCAGAAATGAAAACTCATATATCATCAAAAAGTGATCATCCACAAAGAGATAGGGTATACATAAGAGTTAGGAAGCTTGTGAGGGAAGTTAGGTTAACTAGGGTTTAAAGTAGACCATAGTATGGTCACTTTAAACTCTAGCCGCCCAAATTTGAATTTGAAATTCAAATTTGGGTGCCTTGGCCAGTCATACACAAGCCTCACACACTCACATGGACCTTGTTTCCATTTGGAATGTGATTTATGTTGCATTTCATTTGGATTTGAGGCATGTGGACGGCACCTAGGCGTGACCCCATTCATGCTTCAAATTCAAATGAAATGCAACCCTATAATTGCATTCTAATGAACATAGAGTCCTTTCTACCCTAAATAGTCCTAAACTATATGACCTAAAATACAAGGTCAAAAATAAATTAGACCATAATTCATAAAATAAAAAGACAAGAAAAATGAGACCCATATTGGATATACAAAGCCTATGGTCAAAAATGCCCAAAATACAAGGCAAAATAAATATAAAGAAATAACCCTAATCTATGTACAAGTTTTGTGAGGCCTCAAGATGTAGTGGCCCACAAGAAGAATAGCTTAGATCTAGAAAAGATCGTTATCCTCCAAGTTAGTCAGTCACTCATGTATGCTCCTGGCTATAGCTCTAGTAATTGGGCCTTTGGCCCATGGTATTCCATCAAAAGCCTCTTGAGAATTTAAGTTGGCTTATAAAGTCAATATGGTATATTTGTATATAGCTTGTTAACATATCCCTCTAAGTTTTTGTATGTTGTAGAAAACCACACAGATGAACTAAAAAATAATGACCAAGGGATAGAAAGCACATCCTGACAAGCTTTAAGGGAGTTTTGCTTTGAAACGACAACAATAATTGTAAGATGAACAAATATTGTTGGAGTATTGCCTACAACTAAAGTTTTTTTATTCACTATTTTGAGAGCTACAACACATGGCGGCATGGATGGAAAAAATGATGCAATAAAGGTACTCATAATATGATTATCAAACCTTATCACTATTACTGATTGTCCATACATCATAAATTCTAGAGTTGAAGTACAATCTTTAATTTCAAATTCTTATTCAGAAACCACAGATAAAAATTAGTCACATCAAAATGATGTGATATTTAATTACATTATGGTATCATGTCTAATGTTTGAAGTCATAGTATAACGTGGTGGTGATTCTAGTATATTTCCATTAATATAAATTTAAAAGAGGATTATACGAGGTCTCATTATACACACACACACACCTGAAAATGATACTCATCCTTTGATAATTTCAATTATGTCACTATACTATTGATGGACTCCTTCCACCATGGGAGAAACTCAAAACGTCTAAGGTGAGGAGGAGCTCCTTCCACGGCCAAGATGATGACCTTAAGGGGTGGATTTTCTTTCAAGGGTGGAGTGATGTGAATCAAGAAGAAGCAATATTATTTTATTAAATAAATATGATAGGTTGCCTTGCCTTTTAGGTTGCTAAGGGGAAATAAATGCTAGTGGGAATTTATTGCTTAGTTAGTGGGCTAGTGAAGAGTCAATATTAAGTGTTAGTGGGAATTTATGTCATCTTGCCCATCTAAGCTTATAAATAGGAACCATTTGTAAAAGTTTGGGGAGAAAATGAATTATTCAGAATTTGGATATTTTTCCAATTGAGAGGATTTTCTCTCTCTAGGTTCTTAGGAACTACTTTTGATTCTTATCCTTGAATTTCCTAATTCAAAGTGGCGAATCTTCCTCAACTTATCAATCTTTAGGGATTGTGGCGTTGTTCTTCCATTTCTTACCTCAATCCATATTTTTTTCTTTTAATTTCTTAATTATGAGCTTTCCAACCTAGATAGATCCGTAAAACGAATCCATCCCTCTGGGTTCATATCATTTGGTATCAGAGCTTCGG